GAATAATAACCAACACAGTTTTCAATAGATGCTGACCCGAGAGGTCTCAGAGACGAGGAAATTCACACAACTGGGTCTTTACTGTGTCTGCTATTAGCCCTATGCCTCATATCTATTCTGCATAGGAGACTAGCTTCACTCTCACTCCAGGACCCCATCTGCCAGACATAACCGGTCACTGCCATATCAGCAGCTATCCCTTGGAGACAGTAGGGACAACACGTACCTTCTCCTGCAGCATCTCAGCTGAGACCTGCTGTTGTCACCACTCAGCGAGCAGCAGCAGTGAGAGACACAGACCCACAGACCCCCCTTCTTGCCTCACGTACTCTTCATGTTTACTAAAGTTTCATCACCATTTTGAACTATGGCTTGAAGACCTCCTTCACTGCTAAGTGGGTCCCATAACATGTTGACAGCTTCATCCACCTGCTGGACTCCCAGAGCAGGCACGAGGGGCACAGGTGCTAAGAAGTACTGGGGGTTTCCTTTGAAGCTAAGCAAAGGGGCTAGAGTTGAGCAGCAAAGATGATGGAAACATCTTCCCTCTTTTTTTTTTCTTTTTAACCACGGAGAACTTTTATTGTGTCTGTGTTTCCATAATGTTTCTAAATAATATGACCAGAAAGTGAAACAGAATGAAGTTGAATCTAATTTAAAGTGCTTTAAAAACAGGTAATTGGCAAAGCAGACTAACACAATTATGTGCCTGCAGGATGAGGTGCTTTTATTTCTCCTCAGTGGGTAAACAGACTTCCATGCAGTACCGTGCCTCTTTCTTCCTCTTGCAAGCAGGAGAACAAGAGAAGTAACAGCATCAGACAACTGTTATTCTTCCTTTGCCTTGGAACAGACACTGTTTCCCAGGCAAGTGAAATTGGTACCGTTCTGCTAGTGTCAGATAGCGATTAATCTGCTCTCCCTCCACAGCTAGATCCAATGGGGCTTCCATCTGTCCACCCTGAAATGCACGGCAGGCTGGGATCTGCAGGGAGATAAGCCATTCTTGCTGTTCCTCCTCATGCAGACAGCATTGCTGCGAAGACTTGTGCAGCAAAGAGCCTGAACGGGCCATTGTAGCCCAGCCACAGCCATGCCCTTCTCTTTCCTGGGAATGGAGGATTTTGTCAGCAGGACTATGCCAAAGGGCTTGGCATGTTCTCCATTTTGGTTGCATAATGCAACTGTTCAGACACTGGTGCAGGGACATAAGCTGGGCCTGAAGGCAGAAAACTGCCCAGAGCTATGACAACACATGTACTGTGTACAGACTCTCCCATCTGAAACGCTTATGACAACAGACAAAACATCACTACACAAACATAGAAAAAAATTTACTGACAATTTACATGCTCCCTGAGGATGGCCAAGGCCTGAAATTAATGATTTACAACCTAATAAAACTACTGCTCCTCCAGAAGAGAGAGTCAGCCTGTTAGCTATGGGAAAGCTCACCATTTCACCAAAGCGAGCAGCCTAAACTGCCTCTGCAGCTGCTGAGGACCAAGGAGCAGCGCTGTGGGGTCACCACTTCCCCAAGGGTTGGGTAAGTCATCCTTCTAGAGGTGACCTTCTCTCACTTGCCAATGGCTGGTTCAGATTCTGGTTCGGATCAGATATTGGATGTTCCATGTCTTGGACTAGAGGAGATAAATCCTTCCCCTTTTTCTGCTTGAGTCCAAGCTTCTATAGCAAAATTTCTTTTCTTTCACTGCTAGCTTTTGACCAGATCAGCATTTTGGGTCTCAATTTGGTAAGCTGTCATGGCTTTGTAGTAGAATTTTTGCAGTTTTTTAATTAGTAGTTCATATAAATGGTACTAATTAATTACATGTAATGAATTTACACTGCATGTCACAAATATTAGGCTTATATGTTTCCAGCAGAGCAAACATTCTGAATTTCCCAGGCAGACAGCTGTCTTCGCACTCACAGGTCCGCTCATGTAGTCCACCCAGCCCTGGCAGCAGGCCTAGCGTGCCCTCTGTTCCAGCACCCCAAAGCAGCAGAAGTTTTCTGTTAACACAGTACAAAAACTTCATTTCTAATGATCTAGTGATGCTGTGCTCTAACTGAATTTTCAAAGTCTTTCATAGTATTCAGTCCTGCAAACTGTTATTCTATACTCTTAAAGAAGCAGAAAGATGAACTTATAAAGTTTTCTACATTTGCATATTTTGCTTATAAAAAGAGTGCATAATGGCATATGTTCTTTGAACCAGCTCTTAGCAATTAAAGTTGTTTGTTAATAAAGGTTTGTTAGTTTAATAATACAGACAGAAATGTGTAACTGGGCTATACAAGCAAACTTAAACATACACTTCCTTACTTCATTTGTAATACATTGCAGAATATGTTATGAAAAATACTTTAAATATATGAAGCAACAAAAGGATGCAATTAATATTTAATTAATAACTAGAAGATTCATTACACAGTCCCATATTTTGTAAATTCATTGATATAAAGTGTCATAAAGATACTACATAGGCAAGTTAGCCCGTCTGTTTTGATAGGCTTGCTTACAGGAATGATTTTTGACAATAAAAGCGTTTGCCGCAGTGCTGGCTTTGACAGCATGGCACTCTTGTAAAATACAATGGAGCTCAAGAATGCTGAATTTTAACCTACAATACAAAACCAGACTGAGAAGACAAGTCAGAAGTTTGTAAAGAAAATCCGATTGAGAGAAAAGGCTTTTAGTGAGACATTGCAGTGAAGCCCAACATACATTAACCAAGTGAGCATTTGTTCCTTTGCCCAATAAAAAAAGGCATATTACAAAAGCACACTGCATAATCAGCTGAAGGAAATGCACTAGTTTGTTTTCTGCTTGATGAATAATTAACATGCAGTTAATTAAGAGGCATTCAATAGTGAAGTTTTTAGCCACTTCTATATACATTTCAGCAATTAAGTGCATGCAAAATAGCTTATTTTGCAGAAAAAGAGTACTAGTTGAAAGCATCAGCTGTGCTTAAATATAATGCCCATTATATGTTACCATTTCGTGACTAAAAAGAACTTTAGTTGCAAAAGTGTACTGCAAAAACTCTGTATCCTCCAGCACTGAATTACATAAAAGTGAGCAGAATCCAACTGAAATTCAATTAAAAATGAGATAAAGCAGAAGCATAGACCTCTCTTATATATGGGACTTCCTCCAGCTTCATCCTTTGCATTGTCAAAACTCAAACAGACGGAGCAGAAGGAGTGCATTCAGTTCTGAAACTGAAGCCAGAACAACAAGCAGAAGATCCAGGCAATCTGCTGTGTTCCTCACAAGGAGAATTTACAAATAGTGGGAATGTTTTTAATTGTCCGTCTCTCACAAAAAGAAAGGAAAATAGCTTAATGGCAATGCAAACTTTCAAAGTCAGACACATCTAGGTGTTATCACCTTAATAGTCGGTGTACAAACAACAGGTGTAAAATTTAAGGCATCAAAACCTAACATACTGTGAAATCGGGAGGGCAAAAGACCCAAGGAAAATCAAACTGAGAGCAATACTGGGGCAGATCTACTTCTGCAAGTAGCTGTAGATCCACTGAGTGATATGTCATGAAATGTTTTCTTGGGAGTTACTGAAGCCGAGTGCCCTTCTTATTCACCCTTTTTCCGTACACCCTCCAAGTTAGGCCCTACAACACATTTACTTGTGGCCTCTGACTATTTTGTCCACACAACGTGTGTTGTTTCTAGACATACAAATTGCAACTCATATTCATGCTTTTAGTTCATTTAATTCAACAGGCAGCTGTGAACCTCACTGACTTTCTAAGTAGATGAGCTAGGCCCTGAAGCTTCACGAAATTAAGCAGATATCTAAAATCTGATTCAATATTCTACGGCACCTACGACATACCCTCTCTCTCCTGCCAGGAATCAGTGCAATTTCCCTTCTTCTTACCAGGTATTACTCAGTTATCTCAATGCAACACTGTCTGTGAAGACAGGTTTCTACCATTTGTAAATATGTTGGGTTTTGCAGCTCTGCTCAGAGCAATCCTCCATGTAGTAAGCAGGCTCCAAGGTGCTCCACCACATCAGAAACAGTAGGTACTGACTGAACTCTAAATTTTGATTCCTTTCCAGGGAGTAGGGAAAAAAAAACCAAACAATTTCCCCAAACCCTACCCTGGACATCTATTTTGCCACAACTATGTTGATGTATAATCCATGTGATTCACATATTTACTGTGGCATGGGGCAAAGCATACACAGCTAGTATACACGCAACCTTTTGTGCCTAAGTAAATGCATATTGAAAAGGGAGCAACTATAAAACCTATATATTTAAATGTGAATATTATAATATCATCTTCATAATTATCATTCCCCTTGCTAGTTTCCAAGATGCTCTGGGAGGATCAAAACACAGCTGCTTCCCTACTGAGAATTTTCACACTTACACCAGCCCCAGGTTTGTTTCCGTCCCGGCCAACAGACGGCTCGGAGCTGCTGGTCCCTGGGCATGGCAGAGCTACGACTGTTGACTGTTACTTTCAGAAGAAGGCTAAAAACTGACAGGCTGTTTGAATACAACTAAAGATGAAAAAAAGGAAAAGGACTTCACTCAATCCAAATGATGGTCTTGCAAATCTTGACTGTTTTCCTTTAAGCCAACTCCAACTAGCAGGTTTTTTCCTCGTTTCTACAAGAACATCAGCATCTGAAACACCAGTGTAGGCTTAAGGAGAAAATGGATTTTCACCATATGAACTGTATGCATAATTTCCAGATAGGAAATGGCATGTTACTTTATTCACATACATTCACATTCATTTATTCACATAAAAAATAGTTCATATTCTCAGCTATGATTGACATAAGGTACGAAGAGGGTTTCTTCTGCAAAAAAAAGCAAACAAATTACAAGGAGTAGGAAGCAATAAGGTTGTTTATTAACACTCTTCTATCTTCACCCTTCTGCCCACCCCATCACCCATGAAATGGCATTCCAAATCCTTGACACAAAATGATAATATATAATATCAACCATACGTTCTCTGCCATTCCCATCTGAACCTCCAGCACTGCAAATGTAGTCATCTTCTTTCCACAGTGGGAAATAGCAAACATTCATACTTGTGCATTACCTTTATTTGGCACTCAAACCCCTGTGAAGTAGAAATTTTGCCATTTAACACAATCCCAGCCTCACAAAATACAGCTTTTTGAAGGATAAAGAAAAGCTTACAGTTTCTGAACATGTTTGAGACACTTTACTAGCATTCTTGCAAGGCTCCTATTTGAATTGCATGATTATTCGGGTGATAGAGGTTAACTACCCTGACCAATAGGAGGAAATCAAGCTATGATCTTACATGCACAAATATGCATAGATTGAGATTCTTTATTTAGTTTCCTGAAAGATTATTGGCAATGCCTATAGTAACGCCTATTTTGTTAATTTTAGCTTTTATTACAACCACCTCTAAGAAACAGCAACATTACCAGAGACACTCCTTGAGGAGAAAAGAAACTACGTTCATGGAATACATTTCTTGTCGCAAATTATTTACCCGAGGCAGAAATGTTTATCAACCTCTCTGATTTGGTGGCATAGCACAAGCTCCTGCAGCACGGTGAGTTCAACAATTAAGTGGTTGCCCTGTTTGATGTTTAAAAAAAACACATTGTACAAGCTGTGCTGAATGCAAAAGTAGTTGTCAGCTGTTTACATCAAGGGACAACATCATGCTCCCTTTACTTGTGCAAGTTCTGGCACTGAATGAAGCAAGACTGTTTTTTTTTCCCCATGGTTTGGGTCAGAGATCAGAAAAAAGAAGTGTAATGAAAAATTCGTCAAAGTAAAATTCAGTTTTGTGTTACAAAGATCTCAAAGTCTATGAAGACCTGCAGGAAACTCCAAAGATTATCGAATAGCTATGCTGGACTCAGAAGGTGAATTCCCTGTTACAGCAAGGCATGGGAAGGAGAAGCAATACCCAGTTCTTCAAGGTTCAGTAAAAAGGGAGCAATTGTAATTAATCTGAAGTGACTTGTGATGCAGTATCACTGTAGCACAGGATAGATGACAGGGAGGTGTTCCCAGGTGAAAGGAGTAATTTGGTGCCTCGTGGAAAGCGCTCGGAGACATGAGAGAGAAGTCTTGGCTTAGCAAATGTCATGGTCAGTATAAAATGACTAGAGGTGAGCCAACGTCCTGCCGGTGACACCAAGGACAGGATTCCCTCTTGCCAGTTTACAAGTGCTAGACACAAAGTGCTTTCCCTGATCCACCAGTTAGGGAAAATTCCTCCCCTACCAGCACTATGCCCTTCCTCTTTGTTTTATAGATTTTAAAATAAACATGTTGAATGAGGAAAGAAGTGTTAGCATGTTTCCGGAGCTTGCAAGAAAGCTTGCAAGGGTCTGTGCCAGCTGGGTCATTTCTGTATACATGCTCATGGCACAGAGGATTTGTGTAGGTGCATCCTCAAGGGTGAAACTTCTCAAAGGGATGTGGAGAACAAAGATGGGGTGGAGGGAGCGGGCAGGGGCAGGGAAGCTCCTGGACACCTGAGCTGCATGCAACAGGCAGGCTGCATACAGATGGCCCAAAGGGAAAGCCATCGAAGCACTGTGAGGGACATCAGTGCTGATGGTGCAGGCTGCACAGCTCAGCACCGTGTAGAAGCAGCCACAGGTCGAAATAGCAGTGTGAGAAACCAGGATCAGGTTCTGGTGGGGTTTTGGTGATTTGTTCCCCCCAAAAGTTTTTAATATAAACGTAATCTTTTTTAGAGGTAGATGTGTGATGCTTCATAGAACTTAATTAAGGCTGGCCAGAATCCAGACCATCTTGGTCTGTGGTGGTTTCTAATTTTGTCAGCTGAGGAACATTGGATGGGTTCAATACTTCCACTTGGAGCACTGACACACATGCCAGGTTGTTAAAGGAGGTGCTGTTTGCAAAAGGGCTCTTCCCCGTTGAATCCAAAATGGATTGAGAAAAGATTGAGTAGTGTGGGGAGTCGCTGAGCCACAGGGTGTTTCCCCTTTCAGAAGAAATGCTATCTATTATTTCCAGTCCTCATAGGCTTTCTGGCTGTTTAACCATGTGAATGAGAGCGCCCTGATGCTGCCTTTGAAAAGCTTTGAAATTAAATTATGGTATGATACGATGGTGTGATAGCAAGACAGAATGGGTTTAGAGAGGAAGGGCAGGGAGAAATCAACAAGATGCTCTGTTGTGCCTGTTAAAAATATATGGATATAGTTGTGTGTGTATATTTATATGTATGATCTACATGCAATTTATACAAAGACTTTATTTAGCTGTTCAACTTTTACTTCCTTTGCCAGAAGCTGTTTGTGCATTTGTAAGTGTGATTTTCCACTGTTTTCTGGTGGCAGGGCCTCATGACACATGAAGAAGTGTCTTTTCTAGCCCAGAGAACAACGTTCCTGCATCTGAAGTCAGTGTCCTTAAATTCAGGGCCTGCTCGCAGTGATCTCTCACCCAGAAGGTTTAGGTTACGGATGGTAACTAATAGGTTTAGGTTACTCTCATGTGCTTGCGGCAGCTGTCACAATCAGCCACAAAAGTACCTATCTTTCAGCAATATCAGAAGCAATTTAAGTAAAACCATCAAAACCAATTAAAACAAATAACTAAGCACAGAGAAGAATGCACTCAGCCTAAGATGCTCCAGCAGACCAAAGCATCTGTGCACCCAGCTGTTTGGTGTACGAAGCAGATGTGACAAGATGTTTGGATCTGGTGTTGTTTATGTATCAGGAGATTTGAGCTGGATGGATTCACAGGTTATAACAAATGTCCTCATTTATTCTTGCTTGTTCCTATGCTATAGCCTAGTCCAGGGGGCAGACACACAGCATACAGAGAACACAGGGAGTAAAAGCTCTGTGTGAAGCTTCTAATTCTGAAAATGACTTCTTTAGCTCTTATTGAGAGCATGTTCAGTAATATGGAATGCAACAAAACCATGCTTGGGGTCCTTAGATAATTCTTAATCGACAAAATTCCCACAAGCTTAAATGTAATGTGTTCTGACTCTTGGGATTTTACAGTATAGATCTCCCGATATTTGGGATTTCAATTCAAGCCCTGCTGTTGGAGTCAAGTGCTTTGTGAGGGTCTCATTCTGCCCTCAACCTCTTAGCCCCAGAGTTTCTATCTCTTCTGGTTGCAGAGAAAAGCCTGAAAACATAACCCGTATTAAGTCTCAAACACCAGACGGCAAACAGAAATACACAACATATATTTATTTATTTATTTTAATTTCCTGATTTTTAACACTTAGAGTTGGCAAAATTGCAACTGGAATTTGGTTTGAATGAAGCCTGAGGGATGAATGCCAACTTGCTCTCTCTCTCTCTCTTTCTAAAGAAAAGCGATGCCTGGAAATGCCTGGAAATGAAGGGCCTGATTCACAGCTTCCTTCCAGGCAGCTCATGCTGCCTTACCCTGCCTGTAAGCCTACATCCAAATATTCATGCATATTCCAAAGCAGGTCCAAATCCAAATAGTACAAATAGTCTCTTTCTTTAGAACGTACTAACCTCAGTCCCAAACCACTTTCATTTGTCATATGTGAAATCTGGATCTATTGTAAATAAGGCCATATCTGCTTCAAATACCTCTTTAAAATCTCTGGAACAGGGTACACAGAATAATCTGAGGATGTATTTTTAAAGAGAATGTTTCTCTCCTGTTTTGTCTTCGCCAAGTGTTGCCACGAGTAATATGGTGTAGCAACAACTGAAAAAGCACTGCTTATTCTCTGAGTAAAATGGCTTCTGAATTCATATGCCTGGATGGCAGTGCTTCCTCAAAGCCACCAAACACTGGATTTCAATGGAAAAAGAAAAGCTAGTTCTGCTTTTTTCAAAAATCCCAGGAATTTTAGTGAATGTAGATATCTACCAAAAATTTCCAGTCTGTTGGTATGTCTACCAGTAACTTTTTGGATCAAAACAGGTTAATTTGTTAATTTCTTGTTAGTTAATAAACCACCCCCACTTCTCTATGTATCCAGCTATACCAGAGCACCAAGGGTGAATTGTGTGTGTGTATATTTCTGCCCTGCCAGCAATATTCCTTGCCCTGTTCAAACAACGTAGGCTTACAATTTGCAAAAGGTAGTTAGGTCTGTGGCTCAGTTTTGGGGCTCTGGGCCCAGAGTGCTCTGGTTAGACGTAATGGACATTTTGAAAAACACAAACTATTGTATAAATCATTTCATATTAACACTTAACATGAAACACTTTTTACAACAAAGGATGTTATTGACAAGGTGACAAGTTTGATCAGTCACATGAAACGGAATTGGTGCTGCAGGTTCTGAGCGTTGTCTCCTGACAACTCTTGCATTAAGCTACAATGTACTCGTATATAGATTTAGTGCATTCCAGAATCAATGGGAAAGGCAGTACAACATTACTTTGAAGACTCAAGTTTGATTGCAGTGATCCATAAGCATTGTCCTGGTGCTTCTCTCCATAATGGATAACAGCAATATCTGGGACCGCTCGTCATCCCTCAGAAAGGTTCTTCATCATAGCAGTGAGTAAATAATTCCTGTTTATCCTGATCTGGTGCATTTCCCAGTGCAATCCCCTCCACCACCCCTGCAGCATGCTCTCACTCACGAGCAGTGCATGAGGAGGAACAGAAGCTGTCCGCTGCTGTTCTCAGACCCGTCTCATGCACTGACTTTCACTGGCAAGCACAAGGTTTCTGCAGCAGAAGCCTATTACCTCAGCTGGTGCTGTCCTGCGCCACTGAAATTCTTTCCATCAAAGGGAAACCTCTGCGAAGCAGCAGAGACCAAGGGCTGGCTGTCAGCATAAACTTTTGTAATACTTAACCCATTTCCTCCCCTCCACAGCAGCTCTTCAGATGAAAAAGGTTCTCTTTTCTTTTGATAAGTCTCCTTCTGCCACAGTCTAGTGCAAATAGTTGATACTGTAGAAAGTCAGACATATTGGCAGTAGGCTGCATAGGCTTTCTTATGAGTCTGTTTTATCTTTTTAGTAACCTGCCTGCCATTTGTGTCTACAGAATAAGTCTAGTACTACTATGAATTACAAAGCTTGCTGCTGCTTGTTGGGGAGACAGAGAAAACTGTATCAGACAGAGCAGTGAGAGGATGTTATCAAAGCTTCCCGAACCCTGCTTGTTCACACCCACCCTTCCCCCTGTGGAGAGCTGACAGGAAAAGAACCATCCATATATGCATAAAAATATCATATCTTTGCATACACTATAAAAAACTTGTCTGGACACTGCAGTAAAAACATTGGAGAAAACAGCTTTAAGGAGATAGCTGAAAACTATGCCAGTGCCAGCTGAAGCAGTTATTGCTACTTGTAACTTGTGACAGCAAACAAGTGGCTCTGTTAATGAGCCATGATTTTGATATACTCATTTCTTACTGGTATAAGGTAACTGACAGATTTACCTTGAAAACATAGATGATCTCACCTCTGCTCCTGATATGTACAGCTATTAGCGGCATGTCATTTGTGAGCCATGTGCATATCACATGCCTGTGGCATGACAAAGGGAAGATGGGTTCTGCCTCCAGAAGGATGTTTATGTATGTTCTTTCTTGTGCAGTTTTAGCTGTCATGTGGCCGTGGATATCAGAGACATTACACACAGGACAGAATGCTTGCAATTACGCTCCTGTTAAAGAAGTTATAACAAAAGAATTAAGCTGTGATTCCTCAACTCGGTAACTAACATCGGTAGTTAGCTTTGCTACTGTGCCCCACCAGTGTGAACCATGCCCAAAGCAAGAGACTCACACAGACGCTACATACTGCTGGCCTGGGGTGATCCTTAGGACCTAAAAGCGGTTTATTCTCTAATGGTAAATCTAAGGCCTGGCAGGAACTGAGGGGCACCGGAAAAGACAGTTTTTTTTACAGGACAGTTTATAATCAAAGGTACATAGTTATGATTGGGGTTTTGGTTTGGTTTGGTTTCTTTTTCAGACATGCTTCCCTTCTAGCTTTTAGTTTCAGTTTGTAGTTTGTAAACCATCAAAAAACAGCATTGGCTAGTGGTAGACACATGATTTCACAGGGAAGGAATCCCAAATAGGGTAATATCAGGATGACATGTTTTTTAAATAAAAGCATACAAAGACAGGCATGTAGATTCATTCATATGTAGTCACTTAACTAAATGCATTAACCTATAAAACATTAAACATGTGCGGTTCTCACTGACTCTCAACACCTGCCCATGACTTACTGGGGATTTTGCTGCCCAGCTTTGGAAGTACATATGTGAAAACAGCAGTTTTGATTTTAAAACCCTGACTTGGCTTTACAGGCAGCCAAAAGGTGGTTGTTTTGGGGTTGTCGTTTTTTTTTTTTAAATGGAAACATTCACTGTAGTGGAGAAAGAAACAACACTGGAAAAATTAGTAACAGGGAAATGTAAAGCATTTTCTACTGTTGTGATCAGCATACATAAATCTGGACTTGTGTGAAGCTTATTCAGTCTCTGTCATGCTGAAATCAGTCTGAAAATGGAATTAGTGTTAAGAGTAGGAAGTACAGAGAGAGAGATTCAAAAAAAAACTTGTAAGCTTTCCAAAACATTTCAAACTTAAACAAGATCCGCTTCTAGGAGGTTCCATTGCGGCTTTCTTCCTTAACTTAGCTTCCTGCTGAAACTTTCCTCTAAAGCATGCTGACAACAAAGCATTAAAGGATTTCTCCCTAACTTCAGTCCTTTCCAGGAATTTGTTCTTCAGTGCAAATAAAGATGTTATTATGTGTGCAGAGGATAACCTATTCCCTACAAAAGCATGTGGGTATCTCAAAATCCTGGGCATATGATGATGACAATATCAAATGAGTCAGGCGTCCTGAGTCAGCAAGCTGAATGAAGTGTTTCTAACCTCTGTAGAGGGCAATTCCCTTAGGTCAAGTTGAGGTCACTAGAGCAATGCAGGGAAACCCATACAGAAAACACTACGTAGGAGCCCCAGCTTGCAGTCTTGATTTATGGCTGCAGCACGGTATTTTCCAGCATTTTCAGGGGACTTTTACACTGAAAATACAAACTAATGAGCTGAAAATAACATCTGTTGCATTCAAGTTCCAAAGCATGCACCTATTTCCAAGAAGGATCAGGAAAGCACTGAATCGTCTATTTCAACTATATGGTAGCAGTACTGGAATCATAATAATTTCCTGATCCCTGCATCCATCATCACACAACATGAGCTGATACCTCCTCCAGGAAACACCAGAATAATTAATATACCTTTCAAGCATCTTCACCTTTAGCAAATGCAGTGGGACTAAGAACACAGCCTTGCAACTAGACCGGGAGAAAAATGATGCCAGCCATTAAAAAGCAGGTTTGCCAAATCTACCACCGAGTTGCTTTTTCTGTGCTTATCTGTCTATCTGCTGTTGCACAAAAGAGCTTTCAAGACCTGGCCTAAAGAAGCATTCTCATTCTTTCTTCCCCCAAAAAAAGGAGACCTGGCATAGGCACAGTAAATAAAAATAACAAGCATATGATGCCCAAGATGCATGTGAACATTAAGTGACGTTGGCAGCCCCCGCAAATAGAACTCTGGTTATAAATAGCCTTTGTCTAAATGTGGAAAGTGAGTAAATATAGTGGCAGTTTCAGCTTACTATAGAGGCTTACAGGCTCCAAGTAACAGAGCTTATTATAGAGCATGTGCGTCAGCAAAGGGAAGAAAAGGGAGAAAAGAAAAACAACGCATTCTGCAATTAGTATCTACAATGAGACATAAATTAATTTTTCCCTTCATTATTTTTCTTCTTGTTTAAAAAATGGACAAAAGAAGGAGTGTTTGAGAATTGTTACGGTGCTAAAGAGAAAAAGAGCTGGGATTGAGGAGAAAGCTGAAACTAGCACCGAAGAGCAACACAGGGAGCTTTCTGCACAAAGGCTGGTTGCAGAGAAAAAGATGTACAAAGAGACGACAGGACAGATTTTGATCTCAGTCTCTCTGAGACAAATAAGGAGTACAGTAACCTGACTGGAGAGAGCTCTCCTGGATCTGCATGTGCTTATTGGACTGAACATAAGCCAGTGAGCAAACTTTTGACTTGACTGAAAAGAAAGAGACATCAATGCTTTCCCCTGCCTCTATTCACTCCCTACTTTCAAGGAAATCTCCTGAGTTTCCAGTGATTGCAGAACTTGCTTCACTGCATCAGTATATCTGCTTTACCTCGTGTTTCAGTTCATAAGCAATTTGCAATGTAGCTGAGGCTGGGAAAGCCCCAAAACAAAACCTGTGGGATACCTTACACCCGAGGAAGAGTACCTGCTGCAGAACGCAGGTATACATTAATTATCATCCTCAGGATGTTATCTCCAAGCATGATGCTGCAGGCAGGGGGTACTTCAGCATTTTTAACATTCTCTTCTGGCTGAATTGACAAAAATAGGAAAAAAGTCCCTGTTTTGTGCCTCTGATCTTCTTAAATCAGAGGTGAAGGCGGGAAAGATCCTTCTTATTTCTTTCAGTGCTCAACTGAATTAAAGCAAAACTCCCCTAAACACTAAATCCTCCCCTCATCCATGCACAAAAGGAAAATTTTCACAGGGTTCAGTGTGCTTCTGCTTGTGCACAGTATTTCTTGTCT